ATAGCATCGAAGTTTAACACAGTATTTGTTTCTGTTAATAATGTAAAGTTCTGTGAGAAACTTCTTTATGATTATCTGTGCGAACTAATATGTCGCGAATCCTTAGTTAAGCTGTAACTGCTGTATAATGTTAATTTAAAATTATAAAATACTAGCTGACCCGGTAGACTTCGTAGTGCCTCAATCGATAAATAAAAGACCTAAGCTTTTGTATAAAACTTAAAACAAACAAAAGAAATCCGTCCGACGGGGAACACATCAAAGGGAAAACAAAATTGCTATTTTTATTTAATTCCGAGCATTTTCATATTTATTTACCTTTTAAACCTTTTCTGGACTTCCACAAATAATTCAAGACCAAAATTAGCCAAATCGGTTCAGCCGTTCTCGAGTTTTAGCGAGACTAACGAACAGCAATTCATTTTTATATATACAGATAGATATAGGCTAAACTGTTTGTAATTATGTCCATCCTAACAGTTTTAAATCAAGTACAAATTCGGGTTCGCTGTGGAAGCATCTAGCTATCTCTCTCACACGCTCGTTTAAAGAATGACATCACGATCCGTAAAGTGCATACTTTTATGTTATTTAACAATTACCTATTTCTAATATAATCGTTTCGATTACATAGCTCATGACGAATATAGCGTTTGTTTGATATTATTTTATAAAATAAATGCTCTGCAAGAAGCTTAGTTAGTGCCTTTGATTTTTAAAAAAAAGCCTTTTTTTTTTAAAAAAAAATACTGAGTGGAAATTGCCTTACCTAATTCAGTTAAGATTCAAATCGCCTCAATAATTTTCATTGATAATAAACGCTCTTCTTCCAACGAGGCTCCAAAAGGGTCTTCGATATTAGGCAGCATTCTGGCTATGCCCCTTTAATAGTGTCCACAAGCGATGGTAATCATTGCCATATAAGGTTTGCCCTTGGTTCATCTGCCTATTATAGCACTAAAACACATTTAGACATTTAAAGTCTTCGTGGCCTAAAAGGATAAGACGCCTGGTGCATTCATAACTAGCGATGCGACTGTCCCGATGTTCGAATCCCACAGGCAAGCACCAATTTTTGTCATTAAATACTTACCTATCTAACAAATGTTAGTATATGACTTTCACGTCGAAGGATCGTGTAATAAAAATGAAACCCGCAAAAACTATAATTTGCGTAATTAATGGAGGTACGGCATCTTGTGAGACCGCACTGTCATGCCTATTTCTGCCGTGAAGCAGTAATGCGTTTCGGCTTAAATGCTGGGGCAGACGATATACTGTACATTACGCAACACTTACGTTGTTGAAGTTTTTTTTTTATTGCCCTTGTAGGTAGACGAGCATACGGCCCACCTGATTGTGAGTGGTTACCGTCGCCCATGGACTTCAGCATTGCCAGGGGCAGAGCCAAGCCGCTGCCTACCGCTTAATACTCTCCACAAGCCTCGTTTGAAGAAGGACACGTCATTGCGGTCGGGAAAGATCGTGGACACCGGTGAACATCTAACACCGGATGTGTTTAACGCGTTAAATTTACAAAGGCGATCGCAATTGGTATGGCGTTTAATAATCAAGACCTCGCGATCTGAAAAAATCTGTTCTTCGATCATTCAACACGCCTGTTCAAAGTAGCACATTCCTTCTAATCTATTTAAAAAGACTGTAGCCGTTTGTATAACACCTGCTCGGATTAGCTTAGCTTATCTTATTTATTGGTTCAGCGAACTTAAGTTGAGATACGACGCGAAATTTATAACTTAAAATTTATTTGTAATGCAAATTCATTGATTACTTGATTTTAACAACTCATTTTCATATTGTATTTTAATAAATAAAAATGTATTATAAGTGCTTCTGTGTAGTATGTATATATGTATTTATAATAACATGTGTGTGTTCCATATCTCTATTTATTGCTCTTACTGGAATATGTTGAATTTATTTATCAATGCACCTATTAATACTATCTCGGTATTACTACTTTTTAATGACTGAAAGAGAATGTCTTAAGCATTAGCTCTGCTTATATATAGGAATACACAGTGTTATAGAATAAAAAAATTGGCAATTTTTAAATGGTCACAATAACATAAAAAAAAAATTATAGTCAAGTATGATACATAAAAATTTTGGGCAGAGCACGTTTCTCGGATTAGATAGTACGTATGTCTCAAAAGGCTTAATTTGGTTTCCTTTAATTACGAGGACGTAATTCCTTTAACTAATGGACGAGCTCATATGGCCGTGGCACCTGGTGTTAACTGGTTACTGGAGCCCATATACGTTTACAACGAAAATGCTTCCCCACCTTGAGATATAAGTTCTAAGGTCTCAAATAGAGTTACAACGCCTGCCCCACCCTTCAAACCGAAACGCATTACTGCTTCACGGCAGAAATAGGCAGGGTGTGGCAGCTTTCGTTGCACATGTCATTAACAAGGCATACATTGAAACTTAGTCACATATGCAGAGTGTAATGGATCCGCTCTTAAAGTCAATAATAATATAGTAGCTCAACTCAACTGGTAAACAATATTCATTTGTCGGTCCATGGCCGATTCGATTTGTATTGTTTTAGTAATACGATATATCGTTCGCCACGTAGTGTATAATAAACAAAAGTTTGGAGTCAACAAACTTATAAAGCGGTTCCCGGACTCACCGGATTATAGTTTACGGATCCTTGTATATTGAACTTTCGTGTTCGGTCTGGAACTTTCGATCTCCCTTGCGCAAGAAGAACGCTTGGATACCTTTATGCGGCAAAAGCTTTGGAAAAAATAGATGTTTTTGCTCAAAAAATAGCCCGCTGAGTTTCTCGGCGGATCTTCTCAGTGGGTCGCGTTTCCGATCCGGTGGTAGATTCTGCGAAGCACTGCTCTTGCTAGGGTCAGTGTTAGCATCACTCCGGCTTGAGCCCCGTGAGTTCACCTACTAGTTAAGGTTACGCTGAAATAGCCTCTCAAGGCTATCAGCATAGGTAGGAAAAAAGGTCAAAAAAAATGCTGACCATGCTGACGTGCGAAACATTTTTACTTCTCTTCCCCTCTGCATCATCTGCGAAAGCTTTGCAATTTCTTATGTAGGTAATAAACAAACGCCGCATTTTTTCACCTTATCTCAGGCCAGTTTCTCGTAATTAATGCATCGGATATCTGCAACTTTTATCTGTGGCGACCGCTAAACTTATTCGCAGTTCTGTATCACGCCTATTTTGTCTAAATTAAAAATTGTAAATTTTGAAAGAAAAAGTTCCCAATATACAATTTATACTATAGGACAATGCGATTCTAAGTTCGACCTCAGAGTGAACCAAAGCAGGTGACGTCATAATCCGCTGACTCAGAAAGTTCAGTAGGATTTACGTAATAACATTCTTTAGGCAAGTAATAATAATTAAAATTATGTACTTCTACGGTTTAATTTTTCGTCATTAAATTAGCTCTGACGTATCGGATGCCTTACAGTTTTTGTGGTCTCGGACCACTTCGAAAAGTTGGCAATCATCTGACAATTAATGACATAATGAAAATGTCATTATGACAATTTAAAAAAAAAAGTGTTGTGTCGTAATTGTCTTCTCACTGAAACAAAACACGAGCATCTAACTAATTCGAAGTCGTTTGGACACGATCAAAGCTACCGTCTCGAAATCACATACATCATACACACGCTATACACACATATGTAGAGGTGCTAATCCTTGATTTAGAATCGCGACAGTCCATTGTCACAGTTTATATTTAAACGGATGCGCTCTTCGGATTCTGCGCGCGTATAAATCGGGTTTTTTTTTCTCTCTCGCTTCTAATTAATTAAATAGCACATGAGACGATTTGTAACGTGATAAGCCTAAGTAGGCAGAACGCTTCGGGATTTCATACGCGCGATTTTTAATGGAAAAACGAAGTTGACATGTTACCGTGCGAATGCAAAGTTTTATCGCACGTCTAGAGAGATGAGAGATATTTATAATATGTAGGTTTAAAAAAAGAATGCGGTCTTTTTTTGAGTTTATTTTGACTTACTTCTAGATCGGATACAAAATTGGAAGAGGTCGGTAGCAAAAAAAATTTTTTTTTTGTTCATTCTCCTCTCCAGCTTTTCCAAGTAACGAATGCGCATGCAACTTTGTCGTGGAATGGAGTCCCATTTAAAATATTCTACATCTGATATTCGGTTCAGAAAAAGAAAAAAAAAACAATTTCGAAATATAAACGCGTATTAACAATAAAAACTTTCATAAAACAATCGTCGAGGCTCTTACGGCGACAAATAAAAGCATCACGCGTATTTCCGCATCTGTATACACCGATACGCCAATACGAGCCGCTCCCGCATATCACTTTCACGAAATCTGTAATAAAATTAACATTTTGTAAGTTAAAGCCCGGCGGCCGGGTTCCAGCGCGCCGTCATGTCATGCAGTTTTTGTTTATTTGATAGCGCCGATGCATCGCTAGGTTCCCATTGCACACGCATGATCGGTGCAGTCGGGCCGTGGCGCGTGTGACACGCACATTCACGATACTCTAAATTCCGTGAACGGCTAAAAGCGCGAATGCGACCTCGCCTTTACTTACTTCTATTTTACGAAATTTTCTATTTAAGGCGAGGTGATTCTTTTTTAAGACGTGTCATTAATAGTCGGTTAAAAAATTGGTTTCTAATCATCGTGGTGTTCGATTTTGCGACTGATATTTTGCCGTGGAAAAACCAACTTTACAACAAAACAAAAAAATATGTTAGATATTAAATGTGTATTCGAATAAAAAATGCAACCTTCCACTTGCTCGACGGAGGAGTGCATAATTTAAATACACGAGCTCTTGATTTCGGCTTCAAATTCGAACCCATTTTTCACGATCGCATTGAATTTCAAATATGTCTTTATAAGCGTTGGTGTTTTTATTTTGTGCTACTATTTCCCCGTTGTGTTTCGTTCGACGGTGGTGCTCTCTGACTTCGGACAGACTGCACTTTTAAAACTCATCGCGGATATGGGGTAAGATTTTTTTATATTTTTAAATCGTAGATTCACGACGAAAATGTTGGACTTTAAACAGAGAATTTTTTGTTTAAATTTTAAACTTCCTTCACTTTTACAGCACTATCCGGTAATGCTATTTATTAAGTTTTTTTAAATTTAGCCTATTTATTAGCTGGATAGTTATAGGAAAATCGTCGATCTTTTAAAGTTAGGTCATTTCCAAAGTAATATCCGCTACGTACTTTTAAGATATTGAGTTATCATCAATGAACACTTTAAGGCGCCATTTTATTGGCGATTCCATTTTATTACTTTAATGTTAGAAACATCTAAAATATTAGTATGAGGGATTCGTTCTTAAGTCGTAAATCTGACTTAGATAAAAGCTACTTATTAGTAATTGAGATAATACAGTACGGCGGTAGTCTAGTGGTAATATAAAAGAAATTCGATTTATTTTATTATTGTTTTAATATTAAATTATTATTATCTAATTATAATTGCATAAGTCGATAAAAAATGCTATGTAATAGCTTTACCGCGGCAGTCCCCGAGTGCCACACGTGTTTTTTGTATTTCATTTTAACAATCTCATGTAAAAAAAGGCTATATAGAAATTTAAGGTTACATATTTAGAAAACTTAGTAAAAATTACGTTACTGTAAACATTAAAACTTACTATAATGAATTAATATCATTTAAAATAATTGGTTTATTTAAGGTAAAGCATTGAAATTCTAAATATACGTGTGTAATATAGAATTTCGTTACATTGAAATTTTAAAGTATCTTACTACTTATTACTATCAGATTTATTTAAGCGATGTATTCTTTTAACGTATTACACATTGAAATTGTATAATTTAAAATATTCATATTCATTTTTCACCAAAAAAATATAATTAATAATTAATTACTAATATAGTTGCTGGCTTAATAATTCTTATAGCTCTAGGTTTGCCGTCAAGCCGTAACCATTTGTAGCCGCTTATACTAAATAAAAAAAAATGCATAGACAGATGAATAAGCTCACGGCCTATGTTTTTTTTATAGCCCTTGTAGGCAGACGAGCATACGGCCCACCTAATGGTGAGTGGTTACCGTCGCCCATGGACCTCAGCAATGCCAGGGGCAGAGCCAGGCCGCTGCTACCGCAATGTGTTGTTAAGCGGCTTCCGGAACCTTTGGCATAATAGCGTGAATTCCACCACCCACGTCGTGATAGTTAGGCTCAAAGGTGCATTGTATAGCAACTCTGCCGACCGCTCAAACCGGTGCGCATGACTTAATTTTACCCTAGCATACTTGCTAATTAAAATTAAACACGTTTTCTCTACTATCATACCATAATTCGAGACATTATGAGCCAGGGGCCAAACTAAAGAGAAGCTACACGCCTTATGTCAACTTTATTTTGTGACAACCGACAGCAAAAACGACACACCAATATTTTTAATACCATTATTTTTAAATCAATTTCAAAAAGGAGAAATAGATTCTAAATTTTCTACCACGTTGGTTTGGTGGTCGGTGACCTTAACACACGACACAGACTTATGCGCTTAGTGCGAGTTTTTTAACGTTTTCGATAGCGTAAAAGTTAACTCAAATTTGTATGGAGTTGGAACGTTTACCTCCATTTGCCGCTAGGGGCGCTGTTCAAACTGCATACAAATTTGAGTTAACTTTTACGCTATCGAGGACGTTAACAAGCTCGCACTAAGCACACTGGTGCTGTTCACGGTCGAAATTGAATATACTTTATTGCGCATCACTAGTAGTCTCGTAAAAACCTACAAGGCGGTCTTATAGCTCGAAGCGATTTTCTAAACAACAATTGAACACTACACCAAATACTATGTAGGTAAGAATCTATATACGTGAAGGAAAAACTTTGTATCCCTTTTTACGAAAACTGTGCGGACGGAGGAGTATGAAATTTACCACACTTATAGAGAACATAAAGAAGAAGTGCACAATGCTAATATTTTTTTGAAATAATTCATCAAAGATACATTAAATCAATAAAGAAAACATTACACACACTACATACCATGTATTTGACGCACACACGCATGCATACTATTTATTGTCAAACTTTTGTTCTTGGCGTCTGTTGTCAAATTGAGAATAGATTAAATATTGTTTGTCTTTGTTAATATTTGTATAGTGTAGTCTTGGCGAAATTTGTGATTATAGATGTATAAAATACAATCATAATAGTGTACAAACTTACAATTCCAATTAATTATAGTCGAATTTCGACTACTGTGGGACCTTTAGTAGTAAATAGATTGCCGTGGTAAATTGGATAATAATTTATTAATTTTTATATTTCTAATATAATTTTCACATTTTATAGTCATATAAGTCATCGTAGCCTATAGGATAAGACGTCCGGTGCATTCGTATCTAGCGATGCACCGGTGTTCGAATCCCGCAGGCGGGTACCAATTTTTCTAATGAAATACGTACTAAACAAATGTTCACGATTGACTTCCACGGCGAAGGAATAACATCGTGTAGTAAAAATCTAAACCCGCAAAATTGTTATTTGCGTAATTACTGGTGGTAGGAACTCTTGTGATTCCGCACGGGTAGGTACCATCACCCTGCCTATTGCTGCAGTGTAGCAGTAATATGTTTCGGTGTGAAAGGGCGAGGCAACCGTTGTACTGTTAAAAGGGAGATCTTACAATTCACGTCTCGGGCGGTGGGTGGCGGCATTTACGTTGTTGATGCCTATGGGCCCCGGTAACCACTTAACACTGGGTGGGCTGTGAGCGCCTCCACCCACCTAAGCTATGAATAATATGAATAATAGCTTGTCTGTTGATTGACTCGGTGGTGCAGTTGCGCTATGGGCTGTGGGTTCGATTCCCGGATCAGGCAAGCATTATGTGAAGAACAGGTTTGTTTGTTCTTTGTCTGGACGTTTATTATCTATGCATGTACATATTTAAACGTATATAAGTATGTTTGTCAATCACTGGTATCTATAACACAGGGAATCCTTAATCGGGCCGGGATGATCGTGCGTGATTTGTTATCAATTTGTTTTTTGTCTATTCGTTTGATTTTTGTTTACCTCGTGTGTTAAAACTTCGTTACATCAACTTGTTATTTAGATTTCACGGTAAATACAAACAATAGTTGATTTTATTACGTGGTTGCTGGCTCCTTGAGTTTCTTACATGGTACCATCGAGCTAAGAAAGTTACGATGCGATTTATTTCCACGGATTATAGTGAAACACGGATAAAATTAGCTGATTAAAAATAAACACGAGATTTAAGAGCATGTTCAATTTTTTTTTTTTTTAAACTTCTTAAACACATCAAATTGTCGCGTACTAGAGAAAGATTTAGTGCGGTACGAACGTTAATCATTTTATAAGAAGTTAGTTTCGTGAATAAATCTTTCGAAAAAAAAAAATAAGATTTATGTGAACCGCCATGTTATTTATTTGGCCTTTTGAAAATTATGGCACTTTTGAAAGTTACGTAGAAACTCTGCATTTCTTTTTTTTGTTTGTTTTGCCGTCTGTCATTAGACGCGATAATGAATTCTCAATCTTTTATTTTATTTTTTTTTATTGCTTAGTTGGGTGGACGAGCTCACAGCCCACCTGATGTTAAGTGGTTACTGGAACCCATAGACATCTACAACGTAAATGCGCCACCCACCTCGAGATATAAGTTCTAAGGTCTCAGTATAGTTACAACGGCTACCCCACCCTTCGAACCGAAACGCATTACTGCTTCACGGCGGAAATAGGCGGGGTGGTGGTACCTACCCGTGTGGACTCCCAAGAGTNCTCACAGCCCACCTGATGTTAAGTGGTTACTGGAACCCATAGACATCTACAACGTAAATGCGCCACCCACCTCGAGATATAAGTTCTAAGGTCTCAGTATAGTTACAACGGCTACCCCACCCTTCGAACCGAAACGCATTACTGCTTCACGGCGGAAATAGGCGGGGTGGTGGTACCTACCCGTGTGGACTCCCAAGAGTAATTACGCAAATTATAATTTTGCGGGTTTCATTTTTATTACACGATGTTATTCCTTCACCGTGGAAGTCAATCATTAACATTTGTTGAGTACGTATTTCATTAGAAAAATTGGTACCCGCCTGCGGGATTCGAACACCGGTGCATCGCTTCATACGAATGCACCGGACGTCTTATACTTTAGGCCACGACGACTTCAAAATACTAACTACTATACTACTACTACTATACTAACTACTATACGACTATACTAAATCCTCCTCCTCGCGTCGTTTTCCTCATTACTGAGGGTCGTGACTCCCCCGCTGCATCAGTTTCTCCCGTACGATTTCCCTCCAACTTCTACGATCCTTAGCTTTGTGAAGGGCATTGTGGAAGTTGATGTCCAGAGAAGATCGTATTTGGTCCGACCATCTCGTAGGACTGCGTCCTGTGGGACGTTTGCCATCTACCTTTCCTGTCACCATCAGCTGTTCAAGATTGTGACCCTCTTTACGAGCAATATGTCCGAAGAATTCCAGAACCCTACGAAGGCATATAGTGGAAAATCTGGTTTTGACATGAAGCTCTCTCAGAATAGACACGTTTGTACGAAAGGCGGTCTATCTTTACTAAATACTAATATATAAATCTACAGTAGTTTTTACGGATGTTCCGTTATAACTACTGAACCGTGCATCCGATTGACTTGAAACTTGGTATCCATGTAGAAAATACATGTACTTAATTGATAGGCTAATAACTCTCTAATAATAGTGACAATAAATAATAATGTTAATGTTAAATGCCCAGCGAAGCGGGCGAGTACGTCTAGTCGTCTTCTAAGACTGAATAACTCGAACAACTCGAATTAATTGAAGACAATGTTTCGCGGTAGGAACAAGCAGTTTGGCCGCACCTATTCTTTCGATATTTGTGAATGTGTAATATAGGGTGGGGCAGCCGTTGTAACTATAATTGAGACCTTAGAACTTATATCTCAAGGTGGGTAGCGCATTTA